AGAAACAAAATAGGATGAAGAAACTAAAGCATCCTGACTGATCCTAACAAATAATTAAAATTATTCAAATTATTCAAATCAGAAAATAATTGTTTTTCTACTCAAGTGCGTACCCACAATATACAAGAAATTATGGAGTAGAAAGAAATACCAGTGGACGAGGTCCTTAAATTTATAAGGGAGAGAAAGCTAGGGGGCATGACATAACACTAGTATCCTCAGTATCCTGATACTAATATCCTTTACAGTATCAAATCAATTAGCACATGGAAAAATATTTACTTGCCTATGGAAAAATATTTACTTGCTTATTACCTGATGAGTTAATTCAATTACAAGATGAGTTAATTCAAATTTTATTACATTAAGTGAGAGATGAAAAATAAACTATAGCAGGGTGGCTGAAACACTCGATACAGCTGGGACTGTAATCAAAAGCTGCCCATACAGAAAGGAATGGAGGAAGAACAGCAAAGGAATGAGAAGAGTGGATAAATTATAGATGATCAAGGAGATAGATGCTAGAGCTACTTTCTACTTTGGTTCCTTAAGTATTTTTCTATAATTCTAAAACCTAGAAGGTTTTTAGAATGTGTGGAGGATAACTTTTTGTCACAACTGGTGGGCAAACCCACCAGGGGAGGGGCTATGTTAGACCTATTGTTTACAAATAGAGATGGAGACTGTAATCAAAAGCTGCCCATACAGAAAGGAATGGAGGAAGAACAGCAAAGGAATGAGAAGAGTGGATAAATTATAGATGATCAAGGAGATAGATGCTAGAGCTACTTTCTACTTTGGTTCCTTAAGTATTTGTTCTAATATTATTATCATTATTACTAGAATAGATACACACATAAAAGTAATATCAGGACAGTCAGTCTCTGTGATTGACACCTGATGGATTTGCAATCCATCAGGGCAATGGGACAGTCAGTGGCTTCTGCTTGAGCTTCAGTTGATTTTACAGGAATGGCTTGCTCCAGAAGGACAAAAACCTGAAACCCTTTTAAGATTAAGGAATTCCAAGTGATTTAAAGCTAAGGGATGAAAATATTTTAACAAAACGTGCTTTTGTAGGTATGACTGACTGTTGAAAGTTTATTAGCAATGGCAAAACAGAATGTAGACGGAATGTAGACTGGCCATTGTTATAAATAAGATTAAGGAATTCCAAGTGATTTAAAGCTAAGGGATGAAAATATTTTAACAAAACATGTGCTTCTGTAGGTATGACTGACTGTTGAAAGTTTACTAGCAATGGCAAAACACAATGTAGATGGAATGTAGACTGGCCATTGTTATAAATAATTTTTTTTTCTCTCCCACACCCCCTACAAGCAATAGATTTTGGCTTTTAAAAGACTCCTGAACCATTAAATGTGGCATGATTTGTCACAGACTTCAAAATGCAAAATTTCTGATAGAAAAATAAAAAGCAGTGTCAGGTTAGCCTCATGTGTCACACTAGGTGTCAGAACACAGCCTGTCATAAGAATGGAAAAATCCTGTAATTGATTTGAGGGGAGCTTGCTTATAAAGGCTGACATTCAAATAAGTGCAACATAAAGGGGGACCAGCATGTACCAGGTCATGTACTTTGGTAAGACAGTCAGAGAAACAGACTCATTATGTGAATACATGGATCTACTTTTTCAATTTTAATTATCACCTATTCAAATATCATACTTTCTGTATTTTGCTTTCTGCAGCAGGATCTAAAGCACCTTCAAACATCTTTAGGAAAACAGTAAGAAGCAAATAAATTAATTATAACACTCATTAAACAAACCAGCATTCACAGGAACAATTTAATACCTATTCAAAATAATTCTTGTATTTTTTTGCCAAGCCACCATGAGCAAATAACTTAGCTATTATTATATATTACTATGTACTTTGGGATGTGATTTACATTTTTAAAGTTATGCAATGTTTTGGAAAAAACAAAGCTGAAATTTCATATTCATTCATATAGGCATCAACTTCAGAACAGTCTGGTTTACAGTACACTGAGTGCAATTCTTTGAACTGTAAACCAGAAGACCCACAAGTACAATTAGGAAATATATGTTTGAAAAACACTTGAATTCTTGGCCAATCCTATAGGACACATCCCAAATTAAAAGATTAAAAGCTGTAACCCTAAACACCTTAAAGGACAGTAATTTTCCACAGAGATTAGGGGCAAATGAGAAAATATAAGGAAGCTTTCCTTTACGTTTCTGCGTACTATGTAAAGCATGATTGAATATCTTATAGAAACAAAATCAGTTAAGATATCACCTGTGAAATACCTTTTAAGAAACAAATTCAAATGCATTTGTCTGCCTTTAGCTCTGGTCTATTTTGCTACAAAGAATCACATCTTATTCAAATACTCTTTGCACACCTTGGAGTAAAATTCTGACCCCTTTGAAGTAAATTAGAATTTCACCACTGATTTTATTTGGGCATAAATGTCAGACATTCTACCTATTTAGAGAGGATGCATTCAGCTGCATTCCTCTTGTTTTATTAATATTTGCTACTCTTTTTTTTTTGAAGGCATCAGCATCCTTCAAATTTTAGAGAGGATGCATTCAGCTGCATTCCTCTTGTTTTATTAATATTTACTACTCTTTTTTTTTTTTTGAAGGCATCAACATCCTTCAAAAGACAGCAGTGTTTTCAGACAATATTTTAGCAATAGTCTTTTTTAAAGAGGGCTGACCTAAACCATGTTTTCTCCAGGAAAATGTGCTACTTCACTGTTTGTCAACACCTACTAATGAAGGTCACAGGCACAAAAAATCCCTAATGTGTAGTAAGACAAAAGATGAACTTTAACAAGACCTACTAACAAGACCTACTTCATGTGAATTACTTAGCATTAAGTAAACATATAAGAAATTACTCTTTGGAAGTGGGTTATATTTTCCACTTCTGGTCATAACATATTTGTGGGGTTTTATTACATAGAGATCAAAGAGTCATGTTCAGAGTTGCATTTGCCTCGGGACAGGGAAAAAGCCTTAATGAGAATAATACTTTAGTTTCCATGTGTAGTTTTCCACTTGTGTCAAGGACAACCAGAGCGGAAAGGATTTGCCTTGGGACAGGGAAAAAGCCTTAATGAGAATAATACTTTAGTTTCCAAGTGTAGTTTTCCTTGTGTCAAGGACAACCAGAGCGGAAAGAGCCATCATGCTACTCAAAGAAAAGCCTCTTGCAAGCCAGATGTAAACAATTTTAGAGAAACACACAGGTAGTAAGAGTAATTTGAAAAACAAGCAAGAAGACTTTGGATCAAATAGATAAGAAATATACTGTTCTAAACTTCTTGCATACCTGTTTTGCAAATGGCTTCAGCATGGGCTTGCTTGTCAGTCGACAGGCATGCTGTCTTACACCATTTTTAAAAAAGCAGTTTTCAAATACAACATACATTAACATACAGTAAGGTACAGGAAAAACACTGATACTCCTCTTATCATCAGCTCCAGGTGTTTGAGTGAAATGTAACTTGTCCATCATTCATTTAGATCTTCATTTACATCACATGTCTTCTATACAGACAGAAATCTTAACAGATGATAGTCATATTATAATTAGGGCGTCATATTCATCCCAGATTAATCATATCTGAATCAAAATAACTTCAATTACCCTCATATAGACTATTACTGATACTAGGTAAGAACTGTCCATGTGGGAGATGACCTCTCATTACCACTTACGTCAAAGTTCCAGATCATAAAATCTTAAAGAAATGTGAAGTTCTGTTTGAGTAATGGGCCTAATAATGCATCTTATCATGCTGAGATACATGTGAAACAAGAATAACTTATCACTTGTAAAGAGAAATAAGATTACACCTGAATTACATCTTATACCAGACTTGAGACATCAGTTTCTATCCCAAGACATACAACAAACCAAAGACACCTTTTCAAAGCACACTTTATGAGACAAGAGAGAAGTAACAGGAGGAAGGCATTCATTTTGCCTTTTTGTGTTGATCCAAGATGCACAAACTGAGATATAATTTGGTTTCTCGGCGAGAAACACACCAGGAAACATAACCTTAAGAAAAGGGTACTTCCACATGAAACTCCTTGGTCTAGTCTTAGGCCACATGCACCTGTCCAAGTCTGCAGGACCCTATCTCAGAATGGACTCACTGCCCTTTATTACTGGCAATCAAAATGCCAGGTTAAGAGCTATCATTGGGAGTTCTCTCATTCTGTATTTTTGACTTTTATCATCCCGCGTAACAGGGACTAAATTTCATAGGCCTTAGCATTACACATAAACATTTGATTACAAGAAAATTATTTACTTAAAAAACTTTTTTTTTTCTCTTCTATCTGATGAGAACTGTTGGGACCAACATACTAGTATTATCCCTTTGGCCACAGCAGTAATCCCTTTCTTATATAAACAACACACAGCAACAGGTCACCTACCTTTCCATGTAACCTAAAGTTTTCCTGGCGTACTTTTCTTGCAGACTTTACATCTGCAACCTGCAAAGAATCAGCCAGCACCTCCTGTTTGGAGCTAAATAGCCAATCCGTGGCTAAGAAAGCAGGGCTACAACGAGGGCACATTTCAGTCTTTACACGGGTGCTATCTCAAAGGTATAGCCTCATTATTCCCAGACGAGAGCCAAGCTATTAAAACACCCTAGGCAGCACCGCAGGAGCTCTAGGGCCTGAAGGACCGTATAGACACACAAACACACAGACACACAGACACAGACACACAGACACAGACACACAGACACAGACACGTGGTAGTTCGCCGGCGCCGTGCGGCAGCCTGCAGGAACGTGAGCGGCCTTCCAGCGGCACGGAAAAGGCAGGGTCAGGGAAAGGCACAGGACAGGGGCAGAGGCAGGCCCAGAGACAGCGCCGAGGGCAGGCAGGAGGCCGGACGCAGGCCCGGGCCCCGGCAGGGCCGGCTCAGGGGAGGAGCCGGGGCGGACACCCAAAACAGGCTTTCTTTGTGGCGCGGTGTGGGTCGGCGCCGGGGGGCGCGGCCCGCGGAGGGGCGGCGGGAGCGGCGTCACCGTGTCGGGACGGGAGCGCCCGGCGGGGCTCTGGGGGCCCGCGGGCACCGGTGGGGTCTGGCGGGCCGCCCCGGGTGAGAGCGCCAGCGCGGGCAGGCGATGCGGAAGGAGCTGGCTTGGAGTTATCCCAGCGTCCCCGTGCCCAAGGAGCAGACGGGGAGGCGGTGTGCTTCTCTCTCTGTTTGCCAGGGCGAGGAGGCGATTTATAAACGCGTTGTAAGGAATTCGGTGTGGTCCCGAAAGCAGCTGCCATTACATTACTTTTCCAACGGTGGAATTTTCTTCTTGTTACTGCGGAAATAAAAATGCTGTAATTCTCAAACAAAGTTGGGACAATAAGTTTGGTTTACTTGCGTTAAAGTTTCTTTGAGATAGTCTTTCGCAAATTGTCCTTCGTGTGCCCCTGCCAGAGGCTATCAGCACTGCAGATTTCATAACGTGGCAGTGGAAGGCTGAGGAACTAATGCAAATGGATGCATTTTTCTTCCCTCCTGGTGGGAAAGGCTTGTCATATTACTGAGTGTGAATTCTGAGCACACACCTGGAAATAATATAAATAGCGTTGCTTAAGATGTCCCTTTTCTCTCCCAGCTGTGAGTGGTGACATCCTCAACAGATTTGTTCTAAAGGACCATGTGTTTGTGCTGGGCCTTGGCCGCTTTATAACTTAAATACCACTTCCTGTGTCAGTTCAAGAGAAGATGTTGGCCATTTGTTTAGGTACTAATACTGAAATGCAGGCAGCAGCAGTTACTTTACTGTTGTGATCTGACAACATAAGCCAAATACTTTCTTATCAGAAGTGTATATTCAGAGTATTCTCACACTTGACTGCTGCTAATGTTCCAGAGGGATTAAGATAGCCAGAGGGATTTCAGCTGTCTCAAAAGTATTTTTACAATCTAGAGACTATTACTAATAGCAAGTGATCCATGATTTTGCAAATACACTTAATAAAGTGACTTGAATTGGAAATCTCTTTGTAGAAGACATAGCTGTACATTGCCATGCTTCATCACTTCTGCTATTGTAATGCTGCATATCTAAGGTGCCTTCCAGGTACATTATTATTAGCTGTGGGATTTAGGCTAGTCTGCTTCTATAGAAACTGTAAATCAACAATTTTCTCTCCATAAATAGCATGTCTGATTTTCTTCACAGACATACAGCCAAGGGATTGAATTAGCCTGCCAAAAAGAAAGAGAGTTTGTGAAGCACTCTGTAGAATGCACATGGAACCTAGCAGAAGCCCAGCAAAAATTTGGTAGTTTAGCACTGCATAATTCAGAATCCTGTGATCAGGAGTCTGCTCAAGCAAGGACTGAAGCTGCTGAGTTGAGATGGAGAGAGGAAGAGTGGAGAAGAAAAGAAGAAGCACTAAACCAGAGGGAACGACAGAATCTATGGAACACAGATCCTGTTAGTAAAGAAGTTTTTAATAAGGTATGACCTACATCATTGTGCATGGAAGCAAGTGCTAGCCTCTTTTGTTCATTCCGGTTGTTACCAGTCTCTGAGTGTCTTCTGTGTCTTGTACAGCACAAAACCACAATATGTCACTCACCTCTGTGCCTGGGAAGGTCATGGAATAGACCTTTCTAGGAGCTGTGCTCAGGTAGGACAGGGAGGTGATTTGGGACATTCAGCACAGCTGCACCAAGGGCAGGTCCAGCCAGACCAATTCTGTGGCCTTATCAGTGACTTATGACGAGGTGACAGCGTAGGTTTAGACTGGATGTAAGGAAGATGTTTTTATTATTAGGGTATCAAGACACTGGAACAGGTTGCCTAGGGAAGCTGTAGATACCCAATCCCTAGAAGCAGCAGAGGTCAGTCAGATTGGACTGGTCTTGGAGCAGCCTAGTCCAGTTTTTTCCAACATCTTGTGGTTCCTGCAGAATTTGTGTTGGTTTGCTCCTTCTTGTACATAATGAATGCTAATAAATTACCTAAAAAAAGACCTAAATGACAGACTGTTCAGTTCTATTTTATCAGGACTCCAGGGGTATTCCACACCAGTGGGAAAAGGCAGGGACATTCCTGGACACATAAGTCATGTATATAAAAATGCATGGGTAATCCATGGCTATCTCCTTTTTTTAAAGGAGCTTAAGTTAAATGTTTTATTAAATGATTTTCTGTCACCTGTTAATGTATAAGCGTTATGGCTGCTTAAATTGACATGTTTTTTAACACCTACACCAAGAGTATGTATGCTCAGAATTGTGTGTTTAAAACTACACTTAGTTATCCTCTAGGTGTCGCTATAGCCCTGTCAAAATTGTTAAACCTGATTGAGCACAAAGCTGATTTGTACCGTAATCTAAAATTTTTATGGTTCTCTGAATTGCCATTCAGGCTGGTTTCATGCTGTAGTATAGTATAGCCATATTTGGAATTCTGGAACAATCAAGAATAAGACTAGATTGGCAGAATTCAGTTGTTCTTACAAAGTTGTTTTTACTAATTTTTTTGGCTTCTGAGGGGTTTAAAGCTGTTTGAAAGAAAGGGCCTTGAGCCCTGTTAGCCTTAGCAAATGTTTCAAGTATCGAGTTATGGCACAACACTGTCAAGAGTATGCAAATAGCTGTAATAGGCACAGGTTCTCTTAAGTATCTTAACTGTTCAGTGTAATGATATTGGAATTAGAAAACATCTCTTCTGCTGTGCATTTCAGCAGGTAAAAAAAGAAGAGGCTATGTTGTAGGCTTCCTAGCTGAGAGTTGGGCAAAATTACTCTTTGTCTAAATTCAAATTAGACTGTTAAAGAAGCAACCTTATTACAGAAGGTAATTTTTTTTATATTTCCTAAGTTCAAAGCCATGTTAGTATTTTAATTTTTGATAAGTGGACATAAGTCCACTGTAGAAAGCCACAGTACATTAATGCCTTCTGAAGTCACTTGTTCCATGCTAGCTGCTGCCAAGGGGCAGTGTGGACTTTGCTATATTGCATGGATCCTCCTCTGGCTTCAAAGCAATGAAGAACTTACACAGAATAACTTGAAAACAGTAAAAAGAAATACAACCAGTTGCTTTCTCTCTTTCAGCATTTGTTTGCTACAATTAAGATTAGCTCAGGTCATTATCATTGAATTGTCTTTAGCCCAGTTATAATATGTGCTGATGGACGGGTGAAGCTGTACATCTGGTACCCGTTGCCAATAATGACTGTCAGAGATACTTGAAGGATGACTTTAGAAGTGCTATGAGTATTGAGTTCTGATTTTTACATTCAGCTTGTTACCTGAAGGTACTGCCATGATACCACCATTCAAAGTTCTGATTAACTTTCCATTACTGGTGTGGGTTTGTGTTTTGACGTCAAGCTGTTTGTATAAGTAATTTGAATTATCTAAAAATCTAGCAAACTATATATTAGAAGCACTTTAATTTTTGACAGATTACAGGTTCTGTTCTTTGCATTTTTTATGCAAACATTTAGAGGATTTGTGTTAGAATCACTTAATATAAATCTCTGTCCATAAACCTTCTAAACTATTTGGTGTTGTAACTAACAGATACATACATCACTTTGTTAGCTAATTATTAAAAATAAATTATCAGCATTACTAGAAGTGCATGACTGTTATAATCTACTTTTACTATCTTCAAAGACTAATTATGTCTTCTAGTAATGCTCTTTCAGCATTGGTTAGATGTATAAATAAAACCCCCAAATTTAGCTGCATGCTATTATTCTGAGGCTAGTCAATTGCCAAGTTATGTATACTTGCTGTCAATGCAGGTAACTTCCTTGTTGCATTAAAGCATTTATCTGTTTAGAATATCTTAACTGTGTTTCTCTTATTAGGCATGCTGAGCAGATGGGATGATAGTCAAAGGTTTTTGTCTGATCACCCATACCTTGTATGTGAAGAAACATCTAGGTATCTCATGTTGTGGTGTTTTCATCTAGAAGCTGAACAGGTATGAAGATGTTTAAATCTTTGGAAGCACACATTGTCCGATTTGCAGTAGAAAGGTGACCAACTTCATTAGCTGTTTAACTGTTCTTCCAGCCCTTTCTACTTTATTGATAGTGCATTGTCACATTTATGTCTAGATATAGCTAATTGTGAGTCCTCTTGCTTCTGTAAGCATCACTTCACATCTGCTTAGGAATTGGAACAAGAGGAAATTCTGCTGAATTTTAGAAATCTCAGGAAATTTCTTTAAATCAAAACTTCAACTTCTTTTTTCTTTTTTTTTCAGAAAAGAGCTCTGATGGAGCAAGTAGCACATCAAGCAGTTGTAATGCAGTTTATTATAGAAATTGCCAGAAGCTGCAATGTGGATCCAAGAGGATGTTTTCGTCTCTTTTTCCAAAAAGCCAAAGTAAGTCAGCTTGGGTAATAATGTGAGAAACTCTTGATACGATGGAAGTGTTTTAAAGAGGATTTCTTCCCAACCATGTGAGGCTAAACATAGTTTTTTGATTGATGTAGGCTTATGGGAAAGTGTTTTGATAGCAATTATTTTCTAGACAGAACACTTTATTATAATTCTGGTTCTGCAAATGAAAGCTTAGTGGATTTTGCTTGTTGTAGTTGGAAAGCAAGATGCAGCAGGGGCAGAGCAGGTGTGTTACAGAAAAGTAATAACTAAATAACAACAGCAAACACCAGTTTTAAACTGGTCTGACTATTGGCTAATAAATGTTTTCAAAGTGTAGTTATATATTGTCAAAACTTTTCCATTTCATCTGCCGCTTATAGTGAGGCAGCTATATAAATAGTGTCCCTTTCTCATGATTGAAATAGGACAATGCAGAGCTTTGCAGGAAAAAGGTGGGAAAACTGAAACTGTGATTTGCTGTAGACTGTGTTCAGTTGTTCAAAACTCTTAATAGATCTTAATATTGCCTAAACAAGAGTAGTTAAAATGTGAGTTAGTTTGTGCTTTACTTTTGACCAAAGGGCTACAACAAGCACCTGTTGTAAGGATACCTTCTGAGTTGGAATAACTTGCAGGCTAAAACTGGATTTAGTTTACATGTTCTCAGATAAATCAGCTACTTAGGCATATAAATGCTACAGATTGTCTTAAAAAGAAATCTGCGTGAAACGTAATTTTAAATTGACTAACATTATTCCTGAGTTGTTCATAGTTGTTATTCCCCAAAAGGTCATTACTGCATGGATTTCTTTCAGCACTGTGTAAGCTTACAATTCAAAAGTATATGTGGCTACAGAACAAATACTTAATTTTTCTCTTTGCAGACAGGAGAAGGCTACTTTGAGGCCTTTAAAAATGAACTTGAGGCATTCAAGACAAGAGTGAGAATCTGGTCACAGTCACATGGCTTCCAAACTATGTTACTCCATGATCTCAATGTCAATCCTGGTTGTGTGGGAGAGTGGACATCTTTTTTACAGGTAGGTTTATTATTTCCAAAATTTAATTTAACTGAAGCAGGACTAGATCCTACCTAGAGAAGTTGTACCTTTCTGAGATATAAAGAGGATTATTTCTTGAATTGCTAATGCTTGGGATATATCATGTAGTGTTATTAATACACAAGGCATTTATGGGCTTTATTTTTACTTGCTGGAATTCACAGTATCAGCATAAGGTCAAAAGTATACATTTGTTCATTGCCTTTACATTTTCATGCCTAAAATAAACACTGCATGATAAAACTGATCAGATCGTAGAGCTGTATTCCCAGTCATCACCACAAGCAGTGTAAAATCGTGGGATCAGTCAAGTAAGTTACAAGAATCATAGAATGGTTTGAGTTGGAGCAGAGCCTAAAGATCATCTAGTTCCAAACTCCCTGCCATGGCAGGGACACCTCACATAGGCCAGACAGCCCCATCCAGTCTGGCCTTGAACACTGCCAGGGACCCTGCAGCTTCTCTGGGCAAGAGAAGTCAAGTCTAAGGAAAGTCTCCCTTAGTGATAAAAGGGTATAATTAGGTGTTTTTTGCAGTTCCAGTTATGGCCACATTTTAGAATGAAGAAATAACTTAAAAGATTGTCAAAAATTATGTATTAGGAAAGGAGTCACAATTGAAAGTACTTGTTTGAAAAAAAATTGATTAAAGTACCTCTCAGAGGTAGATCAAACAGCTGAATTTTATATAAATGTGCAGTTAGGTGCTAGAAATATTAATACCAAATACAAGCTAGCAAATTTTAAAAATTCTTGACACAGTGACATAATACTGGTTGATGATGTTTTCAGACCTTACTTCCTTTCTATTGTAAATTTGTCTCATCATGAGATGGCCAATGCAAACAGTCTTTGTTTCTCTCTCTCTGTTTCTCCTTCCATCTATACAATTACAGAGCATTAAACTGTTAATTTTTCATCTGTTGCAGAACACAGGAGATCTACAAGGTTCCATAAACACAGATGACTGCAGTTTCAACTCTGTGATACAAAGAGATGAAGAAGAATCCAAAATGATGGACACATTATAGTGCTTCTAAGACTGAGGCAAAGTACTCTTTTTTTTCTTTTTTTTTTTTTTTTTTTTTTTTTTTCCCAAAGAAGCAAACATGGCTATTTTCTTGACACTTATTTTTCTGGGTACTGCACTTTATTTTTCGTGTTGGATTTTTGTTGGTTTTGTTTGATTTGGGGGGGAGGGACTTTGAAGGGTGGGTAATTAAGAAAAAAAAAGTAATATTGTTTGAAATGTGCTGCTAGGTTTTTAGTTGTCCTTGAAGAGCAGGGTTCTTATATTGCCGAATGTGAAACTGGATGTGTTTTCTGCTACTAACCTTGCCTTTCATGACTTTAGAAATTAAACATCTGCACAAATACAATGTTTACAAGAAGCAGCAGATTCATGGTAGAATCTGCTATTGTCTTACTACAGATGTGGATATGTTTTACTCTGAATATTGGAGATTGCAACTGTATTCATGCTACTTTGCTGACAGTATAAGCTCTCAAATTTGGTTATCACTAATAGCAATAAATCAGTATCTGGTATCAGTATTTCTGATCTGAATGGATTAGATTAAAACACTGGCTTTCTACCTCTACTAAGGGGATCTAAATGTTATATTGTACTTTCATTAAACATAACTTGGTTTAATCCTAAAACATAAGCAACACTTGTCTACAAATGAGTGCTGGTTTGTATGATTTCTGGGAGTCTGATTCTCTTCTTGTTCATCAGGCTAACTTCAGATTATTTTTTTAAAACCAAGTCTTGTTATGGTTAAAGTAATTGAGGAAGGGAATTTATACAAGGCTTAGGCTAAGACCTCAGTTTAAACAAAAAGCTTTGTTATAAGTCATCTAGGATGAGGTGTCATACATTGTTTGAAAGTTACTTTATATGCTACTCAACCAAAGCGGGTTTCTGACATTGTCAACTCAAACATTAAGTGGAAAAGCATTAAAAACCTCTTGTTTAAGAAGCTGGAAATCCAAAGACATTTTCTAAAAAGAACCTTGCACTCCAAAACTCTACTGTGCTTTTCTAACTTGCTGCTATTACAGCAGGTCTGTCTATAAAAATGTGTACTGTAATTGGAAGACTAGCAAAGACAGCATATGCCTCAGGTAATGGTATCCATACATATTCTTCATCCATTACTGAATTGTTCTGTTTTTATGTAGGTTTGGAAGGCATATTGATTTCAGAAGTTCAGTGGTCATAGCCTACCTCCAGTTTTTAGTTCATGCAGAATAGCCACTGGCAATGCCACGGGCTGAGGCAGAGTGGCTGCAAAGCCACTTTTACCCACAGGAAAAGGACCTGGGGCTGCTGCTGACAGTGACTGACTGTGAGCCCAGGTGGACAAGAAGGCCAGTGGCAGCCTGGCCTGTACCAGCGACAGTGTGGTGAGCAGGGCAGGGATTGTCCCAGTATACTCAGCATGGGTGAGGCTGCACTTCAGATCCTGTGTTCAGTTTTGGGCCCTTTACTCCAGAAGGACATGGAGCATGTCCAGAGAGGGGCAGTGGAGTTGGTGAAGAGTCTGGAGCACAAGTCCTGTGAGGAGCAGCTGATTGAGTTGGCCCTGTTCAGGCTGGAGAAGAGGAAGTGGGGTTTGGCCTCTTCTCCCAGCTAAGAAGAAACAGGACAAGATGAAATGGCCTCAAGCTGTGCCCAGGGCGGTTTGGGTTGAACATCAGGAGGACTTCCTTCACTGAAAGGATTGTCAAGCATTGGAATGGACTGCCCATGGAAGTGCTGGAGTCACCATCTGTGGAAGTATTTAAGAAATGACACCTAGTGCTATGAGTTATTTGGCAGGGTAGTGACAGTTGGAGGTTACACTCAATGATCTTGGAAATCTTTTCCAACTTTAATGATTCTGTGATTCTGTGAAATAGAATCCAGTAATTTTCAGTTTTGCCTACAGCCAAGATATGCAAAAGTCTAAGTCTGAAGAATATACTGAGTATATTCTGTATAGAGTATCCTGCAGAGTGTTATGCAACAGCATAATCTGCAATGTAATAGCAGATACACTCATAGAGATAGCTTTCCATATGACTTCTGCTCTCTAGTCTTTTGCAAACAGACTGAAGGTAAAAGACCAAGGAGCAGTTCTGTCCCACATGCAAATTTGAGATAAAAATACAAATTTCTACTGCATCTACTGCAATTTGACAGATACTCCAGGAAACGGTAAGTAAACACTGCCTCCTCCTTAATAATTAGTTAAATATTAAGGGAAACTTAAAGGAAAACAAGTAACTTCAGGTTGTTTTTTAACTGAATGTTATATGCAAGGGTAGTAAGGGCAATGTAGCACAGTGACTTGCTACCCTTAGCAGTGGAGCCATTGATCTAACAACCTATTACACAGCGGAAGTTATTTTTTAAGTTTCTAAGGGGGTAAAACTGGATGGTGCAGAAATAAGTGTCAAGTAATGAGGAGATTCCTTCCCCCTCCTCCTGGTTCACTGAAATTTATGTATCCTGGTGAAAAAAAAAATTGGCTGTTTTTTATTGAAATCAAAATGTAAGAATACAAGCAGCTAATCAGAGTTTCTTGCTGTAATATGTAGACATTTCCTCAAGAAGACAGTATAAATGGTCATCCTTCTTAACAAGCTTTCTTTAAATGAAAGGAAAACTGATTGTAGTGGGAGATGCTGCTTATATTGTTCATTTATAGTAAGGCAGAAACTTCACAAATTCTACAACGACTATCTCTTTTTAGGCTCAAATTTAGACTCTCAAGACTCATAAAGCTAAAATTGGATATGCAGATGCAGTCCAAGATGTGTCAACACCCCAGCTCTGTAGCTGTTTACAGTCACTGCTAAACGAGATTGGAACCTGCATTACTAGGACACAGCTACTTCAGACATTACCTATACAAAGTTTGTTCCTCAGATTTTGCTGACTCTTGAAACTTCCACTCTGAACATTAAAAAAGGGCTGGGAGGAGTCACTGAGAAATAGCAGTGTCTGCCATCCCTGGACTGTTAAAAAGTGTGGACTGTGGAAGTTTGTATTTCCAGTCATCTAGTGAATTAACACAAGAGCTGGTCAGAGACAAAAACCTCATGAAAACCAGTTGCTACAATAAAAATTGCTACAGTAATATGCCACGGTTAATATTTTGACCACTGGCATCAGTGAGCACTTGTTTTCAAAGATAGTAGAAAAGACATTCACTGGTCAAGATCATCTAGTTACAGGTTTACCAGATTACACAATCTGTTCAGTACCTACTATCTTTTTACTGATAAAGTCTTGCAGGGTCCCACAAAGACAGAGGCTTTACCAAATGTGTTACACATCATTGAAACTCCCATGCCTGCAAAATAGTTGCTCTGAGGGCAGAAATATAATACTTGCTTAGATAATTTGCCCGGTACTAAGTGTAATTTATGGTGAGCGAAATCAAGTCACATCTGTGTAAGCAAACAAGAAGCTAACCTTTCCATAAGATCAGTTTCCATACACAAGAGCTCTGGTCTGAAATGGCTATTTGCAGACCAGCAGTCATTGTTCACAGCTTCTGGCTAGCTCCAGCTAGGCACACGTTCAGGGAGTGTGGTTGCATGTTCTTGTCATTGCTTCATTTACTGAGTAAATCAGTCAATGTGCTTTCTAATTAAGCTGTACTCTGAAATGTATTTCCTTCATCAGTCAATATTGCAAATGTGTTCCAAATAAGAGACACAAGAGTACTGGCTTTTGTTAAAGACAGTTACTGTATTTTTAAAATTAGGTATATTTAATATAAAAAATACAGCATTGAAGTGGTAACCACAGGCAACAAAATTAAGCATTAGACTTAATTTGATAAGTCTGGTAGACTACTTGGACAAATCCTTGATTGCAGAATCTTATGTAATCAGGAGTGAGCTATGACAGATGAGCAGAAGTTTGATCTATATTCACCTGGGGTTGGCAGCATCTTTCTGGCTCACATCTGGCAACTTGGTTTGAAGGAAAGCATAGATATGTGGCCAGATCTTATTCGTTTCTGTTCCAGAAAAGGATTTCAATAACCCTTTTTTCCTAAGGGAGAAAAAGAAGAAAGCATTACAGAATGTCAAATTGTTTAACTGTTCCAAAATCTCCACCTCACTTGAAGGTTACCCCGGCAGGAGTGTGAAAATACACATGTGATGTAACACCAAGAAAGCTGTAGCATTGGAAATGCAGGCTTGACATTGATTTCTGCTCAACAGTCCTGGAAAAGTACAATGAATGTTGGTGAATATGGACATACAGAAAGGACAATCATTGATGTTCTCAGAATCTGATTTCTTTCAGAATCTAACAAGGTAAAACTAGAGCTCTACATGGTGACCTACTACATATCTATATATTGGCACTATGATACTTGCAGCTTTACATGAAAAGAATCATTGTGTATAATTTTGACTCTTAAAAGAACTAGTAATTTATTTCCACTCCACAATGCAAATGACAATTCTGAATTAACTACTTTTTCCTAAAGAGTCTTGCTAGATGGGTCCAGTCACAGTCCTGTTCTTAGAACAGCCACCTTTAAATCCTCATTAACAGTTTCTGTATTTGTGTATCGCTTCTTGACCCCTTGCACTTATTAGAAGAGTTTCTGCTTATACATCCAGAAAAAAAATATTGTAAATTCTTGCAAAAAAAGGAACTGTTACCTCCACCCAGCAGAGCTGTTGTTGCTCATAACAGTACTATGATGTATTGAATAATGCACAGTATTCTTTATGAAGCTAAATGTGGCCGGCTGCAGTGACAGGTTATTTTACTACACAGGTTCCAGAAGGTCCCATGCAACCCTGGAAAGTCATACCCATTCTGCTGAAAGCTACACAGCTACTCCCACCAACTCACTGTTGTGGTATTCTGTAGCGGAGAGATCTGTTCCTCACTATGCTGATGCACACTCAGATTTTGGAATGTCGAAGAACAGATTTTACTACTTACCGATAATATTCTAGAACAGGTTTTGTTTGTGCATCATAAGCCTGAAGCCTCTTGCTCACAGTCTCTGGCTTGTCATCATCACGCTGAACAAGCGGCTCACCAGTGATGTCATCAATGCCCTAATCATGGTTAAAAGCAAATACCAGAGTATACTTCTGACTTCTCTTTAAGCATGCTTTATATAATTTTCTATTTAAATTATGATCAATTTCCCCTTAATCAGGGTGTAGATTTCTGCTTTTAAAGAGAGGATGCTGCCTGTGTTCTTGTCTGGAATGTAAGTTGTTGACTTTCCAGTAAAAGAGTCTGTCAGTTAAAAATATTTTCTCAGTATTGCCAATGAATATTAGATCATAGTAACTTGACTAATTTGTCTTCTGGAACATTCATAGAATATGGTGAATATGAAGACAAAACCTTCACCTGCGAAGGCAAACAATACTGTTGGTAATAGATTCCTGCATAACAGGAAATAAGAGACCAAGTGGACCTTCATTTGACAGTAATAAAATGAGCAACGGAGTTAATGGCCCTTTGATTTTAAATTGCAAAATGGAAGAGTTATCATTTAACAACAGCAGTACAAAAAAATGGCAGAAGAGTCAGCTGAAGCTTTCCCTACAGAGGTAGGGACCTAATGTGTGAACTTTTGTTTCTACCAAGTAAGTAAGCATTTTGCAGGTCTATTAAGATAATAGAGACAACTGTATTTCCCCTGTTTACCTCTACTCAATGTTTTCAATTTAAGTATTGCAGTCCACTGTGTTGTGGTAAGTCTGTTAATTAGTGAAAGGTAAGACAGATCCTAAATAGCAAAGCTCTGGCAGCTAAAGCCTACTCTGGTAAGTCTGAGAATTCTCTGTTCCATCTTGCCTGTGCTCTCCAGCAACTGAAAATAACCATGATTTTAAACACCTTGTTTTAAACAAAACAAAGGCAATATTTTCAGTTGCTCACTTCCATTGCTTACCTGGTATTTCAAGCTGGCCTCTTTTCCTGCAACACTGAAATACAAAAACTACAGGGCCTGCTGTGCTTCTGATGTAAATTAATAGAGCTTCAAGGCTGTTGTGATGCCACAACAGCTAAGCTATTTAGAGTTAAGGATGAAATAGTTTTATCTGAGTTGCACTAAAGCAAATTGTTCTTGAAAAAATTTTAAGGTAACAACATACACTCTTTCAAGCTCTATATCTAGGATATCTCAAGTCATAAAAATCTGTTGAAAATTAGTCTGTTGAAAAGCTTCCCTGACTTGAAGGTTTCTACATCCAGTTTTGCAGTACAGCAGCTCTTCCCTTGAAAACACCCTACATGGTTAAATATAAACACCGGGAAAGCATTAAGTGGATTCCTCTGACTAGTGGCTTGGTCTTTCCTCTATATAAGGCATGACTCCTCTGGAGGAAGGAAAAGAAATCTACATTTTGGACTGCACAGGCTGTAAACAGGCTAAGACCATGCCTAGATTGTGTGCCAGTGCACAAGGCAGACAGTATTCCAGATCAGTGAACAGCTTTAACAAGCACTTACAAAACACCATGATGTTCTGCTCTGCAGAGACAAATACATTGTCCGACAGCTTGAGGTTCTACCAGGTCACTAACATACCCTCATACCAGCATGGTGTTACCAGAAAGATTCTGTGCTCCCAAGAAATGAGATGAGCATTTTTGTTCTGAGCTGCTGTGTTTTGAAACACATTATGCAAACAATATTTTACTGCAGCTAGTAAATGCAGTGCAGTACTTATTTAGTGCCAACACCAATGCTGATTGCTTACCTGCACTTTGGGAGGACTGAATTCAAGATTGTAGACTCTGCCACTGGCAGGGTGGATCCAGCGTGCTGTAAGCCGACACTTTATGGTCTCAAATGGCACGTCTAGGTTGATTACAGTGTCTATGTGACATTCTTTATCGAGGGCTTCTGCCTGAGCAACTGTTCTGGGAAAACCTTTTTAAAGGAAACAACTTGATAAAATTCTGAAAGCAGAGTTGTAGCGAAGATTACCTGGATTGAGTCATTAAAGAAAATAATTGTTACACAGCAAAAAATACCACAAAAAGCATTGTCATGTTCTATAAAGATGGAAGAGACATCAGATTGTCCAATATTTTTCAGTGTGTCATGGCATTTTAACTTTAAAGCCTTCCAGCTTTTATTTCTTCATTTCAACTAATTGCAAAAATACCCTATATTCATTTGTACACCACATATCACTACACTGAATAAAAGCACTGTATATGCATTTGGAATAATAAAAGCTCCAATGAAAAGTTTCCCTCAGAACAACCTAGAAACATTTGTGATATATCTTACTTTCACTGCTGTGTAAATCTGGCTTAAGGTGATGGCCATTAAAAACCTGTTTTATTCAGTTGCAGTAAGCCAAATCTGTTTACCAGAGGCATTACAGGATTTAGACAGTTTCTATAAGTTTTAGTGTATCAAACTGCCCTCAGATGTGTTAACTGTGAGAACACTCAGGCTCATCAGGAACCTGTCTCTTCAAAGATGCTGCATTTTGCCCCGTGAACTCTGTGGCTCCCTATTCTATGCCTTAAACTATTAGATGTTTAGTGGAACTTAGAATGGGTGCACTGGGAACAAAGAACAAGAAAGCAAACGTCTCCACAAAGAATTTGAAATAAAAAATTAAGCACAAGACCTTCAGTGGTCAAATTGCTGCCTATATTCACTGGAACAGTTCCTTTCCTCAGAAAGCTCTAGAATAGTCTCATTTTCTTCAGTAGCTTGCATCATACTGTACAAGTAAACTTCTTCATAAAGGCAAGTGCCAATAGGCACAAACTTAAGAAATTCTTGCATAATGTTGATCTGTCCTTTGCGTGAGTAAGGAAAAACATTACAAAAAGACAGAGTTGATTAACTCAGACCAAGTCTTTGCTTGTGCATTAAGTCTCCTGCACCCGGCTTGCATCACAGTCATGAGCTGCCCTCATCCTATTTCTCACACATTCACATTATCTCATGAAAGTGCTTTTTAATGTTAAGAGCAGAGTAAGAGCTAGGTGTTCAACACTGCTGTTGAATACTGTTCAGGAATTGCTGTTCTTTCTTACTATTAGCAGCCACCATGTTTCTACATTATGGAGCTGAAAAGTGAGTTTGCTTGGGACTGAGTAATGAGAAAATTCCTCAACAAATCGAGCTGCCTTTAGAAAAGCATTTCATTGAATTTGAACTCACATTTTCTACATAGTGTTCTCTCTATACAGAAAAGGATCTGCAAGAGGTGATGAATTAGAAAGAGTCCAGGAACACAGAGAAAATGCTCTGGATTATACCCACAGAGAGATATAACTCAGACTGCTACATCTGCTATGACTAGAAGCCACCAACCTATTGTAAAGCAGTAGATGGGTGTTTGGCTAAGTGAACGTACAAGTGGTTCAGCAACTCTGGTTTGAGCTAACTGACCCCATCTATTTGTTCTGCATTGCAGTTACCAAACTTAAGATTTTGGGTTAATATACTTCAACAGAACAGTGTTGTTCTTGTGAAGCCCATTATGCCAGACCTATCCCTAGTGTAATTCAGTGGGTCTCATTACAAATGCTGATACAGACAAAATTTCTGCTGCAAAAGTTTAAAGGCAGCAGCCCATTAACATGCAGCAGAAATTGATTTATTCTCTTATGGTCTTGACATAATTCTGCTGAGAGCTGCCAGTGGGCACAGCTGTACTGCTACACATCCAGACCTACAAGACTGGGACCTGAAACTAAAGGAAAAAAAAAAAAAAAAAAACCAACAATATCTGCCATTATTTGCTTTATGGTTTAGGTTTCATTGTACTGTTCACTGTGGGAATAAAGCCTCTCTCTCAGGAAGGAACCCAACTGTGACTAAAGCCATCAGAACATATCACTGTACATAGGAACAACTATATAAATATAATAAAGTGCTCAGGGACAGAGGCCACTGTGGATTTTTCACTCCCTCCAAATAGCCACACCAATAACTTTTTTTGTTTTATCTATTGAGACAGGTTGTGACTAGAGTCTGAAAAAACATGCATCTAGCCTAGATACTATTTCTGTGCTGGGCATCCAACTGTACTCCCATGGGCAGGAATAACAAGAGTCATCCAGTTCATGAAGACAGCAGGAAATGCATTTTCTCTCTAGCAAGAATGCTGAAGCAATACGCTTACCCAGCAGAACTGCAAAACAGTTCACTCTGGAGAACAGAACCAAACAGCAAATGAAGGAGACCTCTTAGGGCAATTGAGCAATACTTTTGATTACACTCCACACTGCTGCAGTACTTTTCCACACTTACCTTGTTACTGTATCACATTTCTACCTTGCTATTTAAATAATTCCACAGCCTCATCCTTCAAAAGTTTTCCATACCCCAATAACTTTAATAAGAAAATACTTTAAAAAGTAAACTTCTCACTGCCTGTTTTAATGGGGATATACCATATGAATTATCATTAAAAATATCAGAATTGCCAGTTTTTGAATTTTTCTGGAGTGTTGAACTCCCTTTTTAACATGAATTAAGTATCCCTGTAATGTTCTAAAGGCAGGGTACACCCAAAGCATTTGTCAGCCAAAGAAACTGGGGCAGACTATCTGCTGAAAGTTTCACAACAAGCTGCCTACCAGCAACCACGGCAGTCCCAAGTTTTCCAGAGCAGATTTTCTCTCCATATGTAGTTATATCCAACATGATAACTTACCATCCAATAGCCAGTTGTACTGGTCTAGACCTTTTATCTCATTCAGCATTAGTTGTGTCATGATGTGATCTGGAATAAGCTGCCCTTGGTCAATGTAGGACTTGGCAAGGATTCCCACTTCTGCAAAAGTGAAAGTTGCATTACACTATCTCTGACCTCCAGCAAATGAGAAAAAGCCCACAAGCCTGCAAAAAAATAGTTTTGATTGGGATGATGAAGAAAAGTTGTAAACAAGACAGACACCGTGCTTGCCAAAATTAAAAAATATCCACATGATCAACTAGGATCTGACCATACAAATATGTATCAGATTAATTAGATCCACGTGTAGGGCAAAACACACTTCTATCCTCACACCCTTTGAATAAAGTTACTAGTACGTATTTGAAATATGAAGTTCCAAAAACTAAAATGAGGACAGGCCATTAGATAAGAGTCTTCAAAATAAGAAATAGAAAGGATGCAAATTTATTAAGATATCAGCACTCAGATTTCCTGAAAAAAAAAAAAAGTTTATTTTCTTAGCTTAGTGGCTAGTTATTAACTACACTTAGGCTTCATTACAAACATAAATGCCTGTGGCAGTCTACAGTGGGACACGCTTGCCAGGTATGTATTTTTATGATTACTAGAGTTGCAAGAGGGTTTATAGATATTGTACACTATTTATGGGAGTACACAGACACTAGTATTTTCCCATGGAACTGACTAACCACTAGTACCAGTCATGTATTCCACTGGCTCACTAAAATTCCATCCATGCATTGTTGTTGCAGCTATGACACTATGCTCCTACATAGCAGGCAGTAGCATGCTGTAGTTCACCCAAATCATAGGTATAGCCACGAAGAAATTCAGTTGCCTGGGTTCCATCCTGGGAACAAAGTTTCCATATCTTTCATTTATAAAACAATTACCCAGTTATGTTAAGTAACCCAGAATTGCAGCTAGACTGGTTTTACTGTGAGTCTGCAGAAGCCTTTACTTGCAACCAGTTAAGATCTAGTACAGAAAACTAAAGAGAGAATGGGATGGACTGACATACCCACACAGATATGACCACTTTCAGCAGAAAGCAGTGACAAATGCCAGTCCCTTCACTCAGTGCATGATAATGTGCAACAGGACAGAGGCCCTTCAGATGAGGCAACTGAAAAGCAGTACATGCCCTCAAATAATGCAAATAGTAGCTTTGGTGATGAGAAAAAACCATTGTAATAAAAGAACAATTTCCCCTTCCTGCCTGTTCACATCTGTAGTCAGGCTTTGAAAAGTACAAAGACCATTTAGAAATAGGCACTGTGCACCTTGGCCAGACTTCAAAACATGCTCACTGTATGGAAAAGAGTCAGACTGTGGTGCCTGAGTCCTCCAGCACATCACAAACTAGAAAGAAGGTGACTGTCTCTCTGGGTACAAGAGACTGTTTTTTTCCCTACCTCCCTCCTTCAGATCTTTTTTTATTATTCTAGTGTGCTTTGAACTATGCACCCTGAAAAAGTAGGTTGGGAGAAGGAATAAATCATGTCTACGTAGTTCAACGTGTATTTGATGCTTGGCTCTGCTACTGATTTATGTTGCAGCATTGCTCTGGCTACAATGATCTAAAAATATTTGCAAGACAAGGTTCACAGGGAACAATTCTAACTTACTTTGGAAAGATTCATGAGTTTTTGGGCCCAGAAAGGTTTATAATATGGCAAGCTATAATTAGACCAACAGAACTTGAAAAATGCTGCCTTATGCCCCCCTCTACAGAACTCAGGTAATTTAGAAAGTCACTGTTACAGAGGGGAAAAAATAGGCAGAACCATACCCAAATAGTCATATATTAGGACAGAAAGTTGATACACTAGCTCAGAGGTTTGTTTTTTTTTTCCCACTCCTGCTGTTGGGAGTGGGATTTCGTGGGGTTTTGTAGGTTTTATTTAGTTCTGGGTTTTTTCAGGTTGGGTCTGAGACCACCTGGATTTCAGAATTACAGGTAACAAAGGTTTCTTTCCTTTGTAGGTGATGACAGGTATCCATGCTCCATGGTTTTACAAAGGATCGTCAGCACATTCCAACCACATTACAGCAATCAAGCTCTAGCCATAACCAGACAGTAATTACCTTAGCATTAGAGAGGTGGTCACAGACTCTCCACTGTCCAGAAGAACATGATAATAACTGCAGAATGATGACACTCATCTTCAACAGGACTTTTCAACCATGTCCATTTTCACAAGACAGCAAATAGAAAATTTGCACCATATAACTACTGTTAGCTATATCTAATTTTCTAAGGGCTTTAACTGCCCATCTTAGCGTTACTCATTTCCCAAGGAACTGGAAATTGCATGATTCTTCAATTGTCATCAAAACTCATAGATCTTTGCCTTGACTGAATTTGTCTAGGCTGTCTGAGTTGCCTCTCAGTTCTTCTCCTATTTTCAGTGTACTACCTAGTCCTCCTACCTCACACTTCATCTCAGCCCTATGGGAACCATTTCTGAAACTAGTGACTGACTTTCAATGAAATTGCAGTAGAGTTCCATCTGGGTTTACTAGTGAATGAGAAACTCTGTAGCAGATTCTGGTAAATTCCGCTGTAGCTAATTTAGAGCAAACTTAACCTCTTAAGCTGTCCACTGACTTCTTTCCTTATATTCTGGATTTTTATGTGCCTGCTAAACTTCCATTTAATGTTTGCTGTCCTTCACAGTCATTCTTCAGTCCAACCTACCTAGAATTCTTTGCATAATCACTTCTCTCTCCATCACTTCAGGTTCCCACCTCAATTCAAGCAATATGACATTTCCACTTGGAATTTCCTCTTCTCACACAACCTTTTGCACGATTCTGGTGCTCTATGGTCTTGCACAAAACCTAAAGTATTTAGTAAACATTGTAAACCTCAAAACACTTGGTAAAATAACATTTCCTCCATTTTCTTGGAATGGCTACCCACCACATCTTACACTGAAAGTTCATAACAGAACAGTTTTGTGACCCTCTGTAAATGAAAGCATGATTGTGCAACTAAATAGAAATAGCATGAATATGATCAGGTCTGTCTACGCAGGCAGCGTAGCAAATTCTTAACTTACAGTATCTACAATATCAACTATAGTAAAGTCAGTCACTGTACCGAAGTCATTATCCTCACCAAGTAAACAAAATCTGTGTGAAGATGTGGGAATCACATCGCAACTGCTTCACCTTCAAACATGCTTATGAGTATTCCAAAACTATTATGCTCGGTTACCTAGGCATAATACTACAGTGATACTTACAAGTGAATGGAATATTCTACAGCTTGATGTTGTTGGAAATAATAATACTCTCACTTCATCCCGTGCAGCCTGAGATGGTTCTTACATGGTTTTTCACCCCACCATATAGAAAAGCAGATGTGTAAGTCAGGAGGGAACCTTCCATCATTGCAGAAATCCACCAGAGAGAGGGACTGTGGTATCTCAACTGAGGCCAGAGGCCAAGCTAGAACTGTTCAGCAAGAATAATTTGTATATTTACCTAGTATAAGCATCACTGTATGTAAACACAGACCATGCTGAAACCTAAGCATGATATGAACTCATAAGACAATAATAATTTTAAAATCTATGCATTTTGAAAATTTTGCACATTGCTTTTTTTTAAAGCACCGCTATGTTATGCCTGCTAGCTCAGGACTAGGTGTAATTTTGGAATAGCTGTTAACAATTCTAGGTACTCCTAGCCATCAAATGAATATCCAAAAAAGTCTGATTGCCCAAAACCCCTCCTCTTGCCCTGCCTGTTAAAAGACGTGAATATTTTTCTCTTTTAAGATGCTTCCAGCTGGAGAAACCATGAGAAACTATCAGAACGATTAGAAACACGTACAAAAACTACCGGGTGCTTACAAAAACCACCCAAGACAAGGAAGCAGTGAGCTGTAACAACACAACGAAAACAGGATAACCTTCATGAAGAGGCTGGCAAGTGACAGCGTATGGAGGACCCACGGCTGCAGATGACGAGGCCCACTTCGGTGGCCTCTGGCCTCCAGAAGCGCTGTGTGAAGTCACCCAGCCTCTGCCTGCGCGGGGGGGCACACGGAGTAGGGCTGGGGAGCAGAGACCCCATTAACGGAGCGCCCCCGCTTCTGGCAGGGAAGGAGCGGGGCTGGGGGCAGGAATGTGGGCTGTGAGCGCGTGTCCCTTCCCGGAGCGGAGCTGTGTCACGCGGGAGCTCCCGCAGGGCTGCGTGGGGACCGATCCCGCGGCACAGGGGCAGCAGGAGGGGTCGTCGCAGCCGCGCACGCGTCCCCCATGCCCACCTGTCTTCCTCTGCATGTTGTCCCTCAGCAGGTCGCCGCTGGAGAGGTGCTTCACGCCGAAGTGCTTGATGATCCGAGCGGAGACGGTGCCTTTCCCGGAGCCCGGCGGGCCCATGATGACGGCGCGCAGCAGCGGCGGCACCCCCATGCTGCCCGCGCTGCTCCGGCCGCGGGCGCGCCGGGAGCGCCGGGAGCGCCGCCTTGCTTCCCGGGAGCGCCGCCTTGCTTCCCGGGAGCGCCGCCTTGCTTCCCGGGAGCGCCGCCTTGCTTCCCGGGAGCGCCGCCTTCCTTCCCGGGAGCGCCGCCTCGCACCGCCGCGAGCCCGGGCCGGTCCTCCCGGGAGCAGCAGCGGCGGCTTCTCCGGCTGTCAATCAGGGGCAGGAAGGAAAGATCCTTTACGTAAGTGCGCGGGGGGAGGGAGGGAAAAATTAATAACGATAATAAAAATATAAATGAAGCAAATTGCATCTTAGAACGTCGCATCAGACCGCATTTAGGCATCACTGTTCAAACCGGCCATGACCAGCTTCCCCGCACCCCAGGAGGCGCATTTTGGCTGCTCCCTAAGCCGTCAGCCCCTGCCCCTCTCAGACACAGAATCAAAGAGTCGTTTGGTCTGGAAGAGACCTCAAGAGTCACCGAGCCCAACAAGTAATCCAGCTGTGCCAGTCCGTCCCTAAACCATGCCCCAAATTAACACAAGCCCACCTTTTAAATATCCCCAGAAATGGTGACTCCACCACTTCCCTGAATTATCATGAGGGTTTCCCACACTGAGCTGGGACGTGGCTCCTTACCTGGCTGTCACCTGATGACTGCTTGGCTGCTGACACGTCCCATTGCTGTCACTGCCCTGCCCAGATGCCCTGAGGCTGTGGCTGACCTTGCTGTGCTCCTTCACCCCCATGCCTTGCCCTTGCTGGTCTCTCACAAATAAGCTCCCACTGTCTAACAGCAGGAAGTTGCGTTTTTAATGAACTGTGCCTGAGTTTTGTTTATGGTACTTGACTGTGAACAACTGCAGGTTGTCCTTGTTCTGAGAAATGTTCCTCCAAACACCAAGATGTCCTTTCCCACATATATGCTTTGGTCCTCCTCAGCTACATCAGAACACAATATTGTGGCCAAAACATTAGATTGTCCCATTTTCTGATTGTTCACAGTCATGTCCACAGAGGACAAGTGAGCCTTCCTGATAAAGGTTCTGGAGATGCTGATAGATCTCAATCACTGTACCAGAAAGGTCACAGTGAAAAAGTGAGCAGAAAGCAGAGCTAGAGTCAAAACTTCAATGAAATTCAGCTTCCTGATTTAAAACATTGTTTCATTTTAATAGCTTCACACTGAAACAAGTAAAGCCATAAGAAAATATTCAAGTAGCTGTTTGGTACTTTGAAACAGAAAAGAAATAGGAATATAGCCCCAAAACTCCCCAGTCAACAAAATTAATTGACTTAACAATTAAGTAGGAAGGCACTGGCTTAGCTCATAGAGCTAACTATGGCCCTAAGTCTCATTACCCTGAAAAATGTGAACCTTCACAAATGAACATGATAGTACCTCTATTCCAGATTGTACTAGGGCAGAAAGAGTTAAAGACTCACTTTAAAGAAGCTTTAGCAGCGTTCCCAGGGCAACACTTCAGTCTGCCAAACTACCGTACTCTTAAACAAAATTTGGCAGCAAAGGACATTTAAATGTTAGAAGCTACACTGTTCTTCGTTTTAAGCTCCACACTTTAGAGACTTCTGAATGGCAGAAGTCCACAATGTGTTGATAAGTCTTCCTAAAGTAAATATTATGGAAAATTGAAGGTATTGTATGAAATATATATCCAGCAAATAACTAGACTTGTCAGAGAGCTCATTAACTCTAATGTCCAATGCCACCACGTATAAAAAGCAGCAATCATTTATTTGCTTGTTAAAAAGGAAGCCTGAGGTTCAGCCTCTCTACAGGCCTATTGAGCAGCTCAGAAATCCAGACGGGAATGCTAAGACAATGTCTTTGTTAAAGACTATTTAGAAACCTCTCTGAACTTCATAACAGATTCATGAGGAAGGGGTGGAAAAGAACAGAAAGGCACTTCTCCCATTGCTTGTTAAAAAGGAAGCCTGAGGTTCAGCCTCTCTACAGGCCTATTGAGCAGCTCAGAAATCCAGACGGGAATGCTAAGACAATGTCTTTGTTAAAGACTATTTAGAAACCTCTCTGAACTTGAATAACAGATTCATGAGGAAGGCGTGGAAAAGAACAGAAAGGCACTTCTCCCCCACACACACAGGTTCTTACTAACCTATGGCCTTTGCAGAACACAAGTGAGTACTTAGATTACAGAAAATAGGTAGTAAAATAAATTATTGTTCCCATTTCCTTCGCTATCTTTCCTGAAGTCCAAACCTCACTCTAGTAGTTTTGTAAGTAGTTGTGAAATACTCAGAAGTGGAAAAGGAAATAATGGAAGAAATGGGGTCAATGGTTCACTAGTTTGTATACAAATCTTTACACAGCTATTCTGTATTTTAAGACACACAAGTGGTTTTTTGGCAGCCTCATTATGATGTTTGGAAAATGACATTTCATTATCTTAATTCAGACTTAATTATTCACATAATGAAGTAGTCAATGCTTGTGTAACACAACTTGCACTATATTCTGATTAAACTTTTTCACACAGGTAACCTACAGGTATAAATTAAAAACTTAACTCTTGCTTAGTGGGTATAGAAGTAACCCTCATGGTGACTGAACAGTAATGAAAATCTTATTTCAAACAAATCCAAGTGGTCTTACCAATAAATAATCTTTCATGTTACCCAGCATTTTTTCAAACATAAGAAATGCTTTGAAGAGGTTTTTTTGAGCCTTAAACCATCATCAAACAAATCCAAGTGGTCTTACCAATAAATAATCTTTCATGTTACCCAGCATTTTTTCAAACATAAATGTTTTGAAGAGGTTTTTTTGAGCCTTAAACCGTCGAAAGAGTTTTTATCAGGTATGCTCCTTGGAGGTCTAATTCCTTTCTTCTGAGTTTGATATAGAATTCTTCTAGTACTGTTGGGTAACTACTTCCCAAGTGTTGTACTTTGTATCAAAATGAAATGGTTACTTGCATGAGGAAGAAGTCATAATACACCGAGTGGCAGGACGTCTGACATGATCTGCTGCATAATTTTTGTACCTCATTTGGTGTAGGGGTGGACAATTTGATGGGTATAATCTGGCTGGAATAGAAGTGTAGTGCTTAGTGTTTTGTACCCTACCAAAAGCTGCTAACGAGCATGTTTTTCCAGGCCTGTCCTGGCGCCTTGTTTTGTCTAGTGTCTGTGAATAACTCTGGAAGAGAGAAGAGCGCACCATCATCAATTCTGTGAGTAACACCAAACCCGTGGCCTGAGCACATGGGCTTAGGGGCAGGAGGTGGAGTTCTGAAAGAGTAGATGGGCAAAGGGGCCAAGCAGGACCCTGGCAGATTCAGCAAAGGCAGCTACAAAGTCCTGCATCCAGAACACTGCTTCCAACAGTGCAGGCTGGGGACTGACCAGCAAGGAAGAAACTCTGCTGGAGAAGACTGGGGAGAGCTGCTCTACAGCCGGCTAAGCACCATCCAGCATGCGGCCACTAACATCCTGAGCCATATTAACGGGAGGGCAGCCACTGCTTCAGGGATAACAGATATCCCTTTGTATTAGGCACTTCTTAGGCCACATCTGTGTGCTGTGGCCAGTACTGGGCCCTCCAGTACAAAACAGGCATTGATCAGGTGGGGCAGGTTTAGCAGGAAGTGGCCAAGGTGATCAGGGGATGGAGAAGAGACACTGCCACAGACAGATGGAACCATGCTTGTTCAGACTGGAGACAAGAAGGCTTCAGGAGTACCTAACAACAGCCTTCTAGCACCCACAAGAAGGTTACCGAGAAGGCAGGGACAGGCTGCTTACTAAGATGAGTGGCAGGACTTGGCAAGTCAGGCAGTGGAATCTAAGTATTAGTAGACTCAGCTCCCTGAGGTTTTTAAGACCCAACTGGTTAAAGCCCTGAGCAGCCCAGTCTGACCTTGCTTTGGTCCACAGATTGGGCTACAGATCTGGATTCCAACCTGGATAAGGCTGTGATGCTGTATTTGTAAACAAGATACCCCATTAATAATGTTTTTTTAAAATAATGCATTAAATATTTATCCAGTGAAGGCTGACATATATACACAACACAGCTGAAAATTCTTATTCAAAAAATATATACCATCAAGAACACTTGATTTTTTTTTATTAGATGTAAGTTGAAATACATAGAATAAAATGTTGCTGTCGAACTGTTCCTTTAAAGTAGCAAAGACATAACTCTTTACACACCAAAAATGTAGAGCTGTGATTCTTTATTTGGATTTAAATAGTGTTTTATTGCAAAGAAGGATATAACACTTATCATTTTTGTGGTGTCACTCCTACCTTTATTAAAAAGCCTAATGAATTATTCTTCCCAGATGGCTGAGTATAGCAAATTGACACTTATACATAGCATGGGTTGTTCCAAAACCCTAAGTTTCCTAGGAAATGTGTATTCTTCAGACAGAAATTCATTGCCTGTACACCAAGCTTGTCTGCACTCAAAACCTTATTTGCGACAAAGCTGAAGCACACCTTATTTGTAAAGTGAAAAATCTATTAACATAATTGAAACTCAGTGTAATTCGAGAATTATTAATTACTACAGAAAGTTTATGCTAAATTACCATTATTAAGTTTTATTATTTATTATATTAATAATTAATTGTTGCACACACACTTCGTTTTTCCCATTCTCCTGGTGTTGTAGTTACCTCTCTCCTCTTCTTGTCTGGGTCCCAAGGTCTCACTCAGGTGAGGGTGGTGGGGTTATGGTGAGTCATCAGCAACTGGACTCCCTCATCAGGAAGAATGCCATGCTTCTGTTGACAGCTCCTTCCTCATCCCAAGGGTTCACTTGGAGTTGTTTTTGTATGCTTGCTAACACAATTTTACACCTTGCCTTTTCTTCACTAATCTGCAGCTCTAAATTACATCTGAGTTTACTATATATAGTGCCTTCCACATATATTAGATACTTCTTCATCTTTTTTGCTAAACCAGTTGTGCCCAGCTTCAGGTCTGCATGCAAGAAAAGAAACATTAAATACATGAAAAATAAATTACCCATAGAAAACCTGTCAAAACTGCTCTCACAATTAAAGGAAGCAAACCAAAGCTGCAAGCAGATCAAAGAACATTCAGAGAATGCAAATCTGACTAACTTCTGTTCTGATGCCTTGGAAACTCAATACAAGGCTTATGTTCTGTTACGAGCAATGGCAATATTTTGTTGGAGTCACAAGTTGATAATCAAATACAGAATTTAAATTATTTGGAAAACATTTCTGTTGTTTCAGTGGTTCTTTTGAGCTGTATTTGGAGTTTGTAATTTTAGTCCTATAAAAAGCACTCATCACAGATTGTTTAGACATCCGTCAATATTAACATAAATAGGAAAATAAATAAAGTTCAAATAAAAGAGAAGTTACATAGCTGTGTTTCTGAGACTGTGTGAAAAGTCTTGGGAGGTATGTAAACTAACAGAAATTCAGAGAAAAGTGTTATCTGTTTTGCATTCTTGGAGCCCTCATATATTAGCAGAAGGCAGATCTCGTTTGGAAGTTTCTGTAATGACCTTTTCTGTATTGTTTATCTCAAGCGATTAAACTGTCAGGAGACTGTCATGTTCTCCAACCACTGATTAAATGAAAGGAACATTTCCCTGAGTACTGAGGTAAGCCAGTAATAACTTTACATTTTGAGG